CTAACCGAACCACCCCCTTAAGGAACCACAGCCTGGAACTGGCCCCTTAACGAACCAGCCCCCTAACGAACCAGCCCCCTAACGAACCAGCCCCCTAACGAACCATAGCCTGGAACCGGCCCCTTAACGAACCAGCCCCTTAACAAACCAGCCCCTTAACAAAACGCAGCTTGGGAAAAAAAAAAAAAAATTTCAAAACCTCAGATTCCTTTAGCCAAATGTGCACAATTCGCTGTCACTGAAGAAGCTGGTTACGCTTTTTCAGTACTTAAAAAAAATCAGGCTTCTAATCCGAGCCGGCCGCCTGCCCTAATGCCCGTCAGGGGATAACGACGCGCACCTCCCTGCCGACCGACCTGCCGGACCTGAGGCTCGCTGCAACTGCCTCGGCGCCTTCTGGCCCCCAAGTATTCATACACAACTCACTTGCCAAGCCAAACCTCTGTCCCCTGTCACCCAGGCTTCTTCTGCCACCAGGCCAGGATCCCCAGTTCCCCAGCTACCTCTTTTACGGCTCGAGGGTTATCAGTAATTTTATATAAAGGTGTTTTAGATGAGGATCTGAGAGCACACAGGCATTTTTAAAACCATGTAAGCAGTTCTCTCTTTCGAGAGAAAGTTGGTAATAAAACCCGTAACGGGGTTAGAACAGCAGGTAGCTATTGTGCTGCACCGTGCTCATTATAAATAAATTAGCCTGGATTTGTAAATTAAATTTTAGGGGGGGGAAAAAAAAAAAAAAAGGACTTTCAACTTTGCTGCTGCTATTAAGCCAGCAGCAGGAGCCTGTTCCGCCTGCGTTTGGAGGAGCCAAGACAAAAACCCAAGCCATGGGCCAGGACTTCAAGGTTAAACGTGGCCACGAGGCAAAGGAGCGCGGGGGCTTCCAGCAAGAACAGCACGGAGCGTCTGGGGCGGGCGTTGCTGGGTTTACCTTTCAGAGTATTCTGCGTCTTGGAGGCCTCTGAAGCAGCCGTTTTCTTCCGCTTAGGCCGGGGTTCTCGATCTCCCGCTCCCAGCTGACCTACCGGAGGCCATAAATGCACGTTACGGAAAGGCACCCGCTCCTCGAGAGGTGTCCTCTGTCTTGCCGCATCGGCTCCCTGCTGCTCCAACCACCCACCCCCCCACGGCCCGTGCTGTCTGCTACGCGCCCCGGGTTTGGTCTTAGAGCGATTTTTGGGAACTCCTGACATCAATCCCGCGGGCAAGGCTTCCCAAATCCAGCCCCGGCGCTGCGGGGAATGACTCCAAAAGCGCCCTTGGCCAGGCGGCACTCTTCTCAGCTGCCTGCCCCCCAGCTCTCAGCAGCACCTTCAAACCCACCTCGTGATCACGAAAATCTCAACCTCTTTACAACACAAGCGACCAAGCTTCCTTCAGTTAGCCTAGCTCCAGGTCCAGCAGCACTATTTCAGCTTTGTTACAGAGCCAGCCAAAACCCACCGAGTACCTGCTGGGGTTAAGCAGCTCCAAGGGAAGACCAAAATCAACACTAAGATCTTTCGGGAGACAAGGAGTCAGACAGAGCCTCCTCTGGTACAAGATAGGCCAGCAGGGCAGGGACCGTGCCCCTGTGCTGGGCACTGGGGGGGCCGCCCCTCGACTGCTGGGGTCAGGGTTGGGCCCCTCCCT